TAATCAAGTATAATCGATATTAAACTAACAGCTCATTGTCTGACTGCTTAAGTAAATTATCATATTATAAAAAGATCTATCTTAGGATTTCATTTAAGTTCTAGAGCACCAGTTACTTCTAATCTTAGGGTTTCATCTAAGATCAAAGTCAGTCTTTATGTACGTGGACATATTATTAAAGAAATCGATTCTTAGCAACGACCGATTATATGTTGTTGTTTTTACGTGTAAGTAATAGATAAGAGATGCACATTGACATGTTAATCTTTTTTTGATCACGACCAATTGTATGTTGTTACGCGTGTAAGTAATAAGTCAAGAAGAGTCAGTGTCAACATTTATTGTACGTTGGCATGTTAAGTAATAGATCAAGAAGAGTCAAGGTCAACATTTATTGGACGTTGACATGCTCTTAAAGAAATCGATTTTTAGTCACGTACAATTATGTTGTTTGTTTCGCGTGTAAATAATAGAAAAGTGTTGGAAATATTAGTTTGTGGGGACGGCAAGTTGCTCAGTTATTGAACAAATAATGTTTTGCACAAGAAAGTTTAAATAATTTATTTTTTTGCATGAGGAACATTTTACAGTTTGATAATTTTCCAACGAATTGTCATTCTTTTATTTATTAATAAATTTTAATTTTTAATATTCTCCAAAGTAAATACAGCCCGTGCATCGCACGGGTTACATACTAGTTTGATTAAAAATGAATTCAACAAAACCCATAATTTTAGGAGCATTTAATGCTACCTATTTTATGATTTAAAAAATCTAAAACTTTCTAAATATGGTGTGAAATTAATTATGAGTTGACTTTTATTCCTACTAATTCTAGTAAATGAGATAACTTTTTATATAAGTATAGATTTTGTTCAATTATTATTATTATTTTTACTTTGTTGTACACCATTTATCATTTTATAATTAAAATACATTTATTTATCTTAATATTAATTCTTTATTGTATACAAATGGTCTATTCTTTAATGTTAATTCTTATTAAAAATGGATCATATAGTAGTATAGTAATTGTCGTATCAATGAACTTTTTTAATGTGCAGATAAGTAGGAAAATAATTCTATTAAATTTGTAAGAATAATTTGAAATTATATTTAGTTTTTTGAAGAATACAAATTTTTTATCGAAATAAAAATTCTTTCTTTTTTTTTTGGTAGAAGGACCTTCCGATTTCCGGATCTACAGGAGAACCGACTAATCTGGAATCGAGTCGAGTAGGACCACAAGGGCGGCAAAGCTCTCCCTCAAAAGTTGAAATAAAAAATCTTTAAACACATGTTTGAGACAAAATGATAATTCTTTTTTTACTATAAGAACTACAAAACAAACAAAAATAGCTACATATAAAGAATAGAAATATTTACCAAACAAAAATAGATCATTAAGACATAATTTTCAGTTGAAACGATGATTCTCTTTTACAACAACAACAAAATGAACAAATATTTAACTATAATAACTATCAAAATATATAAAAGAAAAGTCAAAAGTCAGATTATCTTTCAAGCATATAAAAGAAAATATAAATAGTAAAGTCTAGAGTATCATTCAAAATTGTGATGGCTTGGGTCTCTTCCAGCTTAACCAGTGGTCTTGTGTTCGAGCCCTGAGAATGCAGCAGTGTTAAAACTATTGAGGGAGAGTTTTGCCGCCCTTTCCTACCCGGCTTGATTTCGGATTAGTCGGTTTCCTTGTGGATTGGAAACCGGAACGTCCCTGTAAAAAANNNNAAAAAAAAAAAAAAGTATCATTCAAAATATATGAGTCCAAAATTAAATTGTGATTATAATCAACACTCTCTCAATTCACACAGCCATGTCGTGATAGACTAGTGCGGTACCCGTGCAATGCACGGGTTAATTTTATTAATGTAAGCATTTATATTTGGATGATTGAAAGAATGTAAAAATCATGTATTAGAATAAAACAAAATGTAACTTTTATATTATTAAACAGAAAACAATGTACTTCTGTGTAAACCGTATCTAAGAAAATAAACACTCGACACCTATATATATTAGGATTCTATATAGGCTTAAATAAATCAGTTAAGTTATTTAGCAGGAAATATATGATATGATTTATACTTGTTTTATGAAGATTACATAGCTAAATATAACAAAGATTATAAAACGTCGTTCTTGATAACCTATAACCTTATTATTTTAAATTGTAAAATTACCTAATTTAAGGAAGGAAAAATTGTGTACTTGTATGCAATCAGTTTTAAATTTGTATTCTATAAGATTAAACAAAACCCAAATTTTTAGGATGTTCCAATCCGATTTCATTTTGAATTTCAAATTAATATCATCTAACTTTGTTTTATGTTTTAAAGAAATTATGAACTAAAGAAAGTAGTAGAAAATTAAATGATATGGAAATTTTAAAGTTTAATTATCAATTTGAAATTGGGCAGATTTCTATGCAATCCAATTTTTTTTAATAAAATAATTTGTTGCAATTAGGTAAAGATACATGTTATAGTGTTTTGCTTAATTTAAAATTTTTAATTTTATGGTAAACAATTTTTTTTATAAAAATGAGAGAATCTTGACTTTTACAAAATTGTCATGCCGAATTTTACCCAAATTAATTTGATTTCTTTGCAATCCACTTTTTTAATAAACAATTGATATGTTACCATTAGGAAAAGATATATGCGATAATATTTTGCCTAATTCAAAATTCTCGATTTTATGGTAATCAGTTCTTTTTATTAAAAAATGAATTTTGACTTTTGCAAAAGCGTAAGAATCATTCGAAATTTACGTAAATCAAATCCACAAAACCCATAAATTTAAGTGCATATATAGTTACTCGATTTCTTGGGAATAATTTTAAAGAAAAAAAAAAACTGTCGAAAATAAAATGTAATAAATGTTGATTGACTTTTTCTTGTTATTATTTTTAGTAATTAGGTTCTATCTTTATATAGATTATTAAAATTTCTAAAATTACTTTATATCATTACAGTAATTAATGATCCGCAATTATATTTTTCCCGAAAATGCGATAGACAAAAAAAAATTATGTAAATGAAAAACAAAAATGATTAAGTATCATTACAAAGTAGGATATTAATATAGTTTTTAGTTTTTTCCTAAAAACGCTAAGAATAAGAAATGATATAATTTTTAAATATTTACCAAACAAAACGACATCATTTCGGATTACGAAAAATCTGCAATCACGATGATATTAATTTTTTCTAAAAATATTGGAAAATAAATTTGGTAAGATAATTATTGAGTGCACCGCGAAAACAAAATCCAAAAATTTTGATAAGTTGATAAACAAAAAAATATCTAAAGTTGCTATTTATTAAATAAAAAACCACCGGATAATATTTTTGAATGAACTAGTACGTAGTTTCACGGGGCAATAATTTTTTAAATTGCATGTATTAAAACAAGGAAATATTGATTAGTATAAAAAATAATTTTGAATATTGATTTTAATATTTTTCTTTTATTTTATGATATATAACAATTTAATATATGATTTATATAATTATTTCACTCGTTTATAGTTGCCATTTTAAAATTTCAGTTTATAATTAAGAATCATAAAAATATAATATTCAACATTATCAATAAATATTTACTCCTATACTCTCTCTCTTTCTCTCAAGATAAAATAAAATAATATTAACGTAATTAAATAATTGTAATATATATTATTTTGAAATTAAAAAGTTATTAGTATTAATTACGTCAATATTATTTTATTTTATCTTATAACTTATAATAATATATATAATAAATATTTTTAAATTTTCTTTCTATACTATTAATTTATATAAATTTTTTATGATACTATCAATCAAAATATGAATTTGGAAAAAAATGTCGGTGCAATTATTGATAAAATCAAAGGATATTTTTTAATTCATTGAATAGATAATTTTTGGTAGATGGTTCATTACCAAATGATCAGAGGGATTTGTAATTAATTTTCACATATCAATTTTATTGTAGTATTGTAGTAGTTAGTTATATCAATAAGATTTTTGACCAACAAAACAGGAGAATACATGGTTTGTTATTAATAATAAAGATTGGTTTGTTATTAAAGATAAATAGATAAAGTTCTTTTGGTATTGTCAAAAATTGCATTTACAACTTTTAAAAAAAAAACATGAATCAATTAAGTTATTGATAAATCAAATGATTCTAAAATAATTCTCTTGATTAAATGATTTTTTTTTTCTTAAATGCGATAAAAAA